TGATGTGAAAAACCTTTCAACCTCATTGGTTAAGTGAAGACAAGCAGATTAAAGTAGAATTTTACACTCATCTGACAATAGGAAGTATTGGTAAGGATATGGAGTTAAATGAACTTATGCAAATATATTGTTTGTGGGAGTGTAAATTGCCACAACGATGTTGCAAAACAGTTTGTCAGTACTAGTAAAGTTGAAGCTATCAAACCTAGGCCCTAGGAATTTCACTGCTAGATCAACACCCCTTAAGAAACAGGCAAGTGTTCCTTGAACACACCTAAAAGAGTATTTATAGCAACATTGTACATAATGGCTACAACTGGAAAACTGATCAAATGTCCATCAACAAGAGAAAAAAATGAATTGCAATCAACTTATACAATGAAATATCACACAATGTTGAAAATAAATTGGCCATTCAAAGAAGGAGATACCTTTCTCTGAGGGGAGGAGAGAACCTCCACTTCAATTATAGCCCTATCTAAATAATGTCAGAGTTTGTGGACTCAACAGGCTTCCATACCCTTGGCAGCTCATGACAACAGCCTTGGGTGAACACTGATGTCATAATGAGTGTCAATTGTTAAATCAACAATTGGAGTCACTGTGTACTTGCTCCCCATGTAGGACATCTGTCCTTAACGTGTTGTACTATGAGAATTAACAGTAAAACTAGTCTTCAAACAGTATTTTATACTTTGTGTGTCTGTGTGGGTCAAACTGTTGAAATCTTTACTTAGTATAGAGTTGATCTTCTGAATATAAAATTATATATTCAATTATAAAAACATAATTGAAAATTAATCTTAATGAATAATGGGTTGGGAGAGGGAGTAGGAGGTGGGACGGTTTGGGGGTGGGAGGGTGGGTATGAGGGGAAGAACCACTATAATTCAAAAGTTGTACTTATGAAATTTATATTTATTAAATAAAAGGTTTCTATAAAACAGAAAATAAATTGGCTGTAGCCACATAAGACAAAAGGAAGGAATTTCATAAGCATTATGCTTACTGGGGAGAAAAGGAAATTGCTGTATGCAATATAATAGTACTTATGGCAAGTGTAAAAGTATATAAAATTAAACAAAATATGCACACAATAAATCTCTAAAGAAAACAAGGGACTAATAAGCAGAAAACTCAATAACCATCAGCAGAAGAAAGCCAAGGCTTGCAGCAGAGTTTTGTTTTTAATTTCTAAGACTATAATTGTTGGGATATACACCTATACATATGTAGGTGGCTCAGAAAGTTTTGGGGAAATATAATTGAAAGATAAGTTTATTTTGTTTTAAAAGAATGTTGAAATCCCTGCATATGAATGGGTCTTCCAAAAGTTCAAGGAAAAACTATATTATGAAAAAAAAATTATATATGGATTTCAAAACCTTTTGCAACAAAATAAACTTACAGTTTGGTTCCATTTTCCATCCATTAAGAATACATGTGGCCGGCGCCGCGGCTCACTAGGCTAATCCTTCGCCTTGCGGCGCCGGCACACCGGGTTCTAGTCACGGTCGGGGTGCTGGATTCTGTCCTGGTTGCCCCTCTTCCAGGCCAGCTCTCTGCTGTGGCCAGGGAGTGCAGTGGAGGATGGCCCAAGTGCTTGGGCCCTGCACCCCATGGGAGACCAGGATAAGTACCTGGCTCCTGCCTTCGGATCAGTGCGGTGCGCCAGCCGCAGTGCGCCGGCCGCAGCGCGCCGGCTGGGGCGGCCATTGGAGGGTGAACCAACGGCAAAGGAAGACCTTTCTCTCTGTCTCTCTCTCTCACTGTCTACTCTGCCTGTCAAAAAAAAAAATAAAAAAAGAATACATGTTTATTTTATATATTTGAAAGGCAGATAGAAAGATAGACCTTCCACCCAATGGTTCACTCCCCAAATGCCTGTAGCACCTGGGGCTGGACCAGACTGAAACCAGGAGCTGGGAACCCAATCTGGGTCTCCCATGTGAGTGGCAGAGACACAAATGCTTGAGCCATCATGTGCTGCTTCCCTGGATGTGCATTAGCAGGAAACTGGAATCAGAAGCAGAGCCAGGACTCAAACCCAGGCATTCCCATATGGGGTGCTGGTATCTCAAGCAGTGTCTTAACCCCTTTGCCAGGTGGCTGCCCCTCCATGAACTTTTTTGAAGTACCATTGTAGACATGTTCATTTTATTATCTGTTGCACCTTATAAATTTGCCACATATATTCTCTTTTGAAGGGATGATCTATTTCCATGAATTACCAAAAGAGACCTGAAGCGTACGACAGAAATGATAAGGAGATCCAGACAATGAGCTGGTGGTGATTGTAGAGGCGGACTTCACAGATCCTCTGGGAACCCAAAGGGAAGAAGGCCCTGGGGTCCCCGTCAGGCTGGGCATGCTCGGCAGGGCCGGGAACCTGGGGAGCTTGTGTTCTTGTGCTGACGATTGCTCCAATGCTGTTCTTCCCTGCAGCTGCCTCTGCTCACCAACCTCCTCCATCTGCAGGCTTGTTCCTTTGCCTTTAATTGCCTAAAGTGTGCCCTCAAGTCTTAGATCTAAATGACTTTCTTGCATGTATCCCCTTTACTGAAAGCCACTTGCTGCCTGGCCTGGAGCAGCCAAGAGTGAGCAACCTTGCAGTCCCTGGGTTGGCAGCAATGGCAGAGGAGCGTGGGAACCAGACAAAGGAACAGAGATTCTTGACAGCCGTGCTGCTCCAAATTGCCAGTGCAGAAAAATCAGCTATGGGCCTGTTGAGAAGCAGGCTCCCAGGTGTCCCCTGAGACTCAGCTGGAGTAGGTCTGGGTGGGGTGCAGGCATCTGCCCATCAGAAGCCTGTGGTGAACTTGATGCATCTGGTCCACATCTGGAGCAACAGGGCCCTTTAGTGGGACAGAGGCTACCACACCAGAAGTACTTGGGCACAGGAGCCCAGAAGAGGAGAACCAGGCTTCCAAGAGGCCTCCCCACACAGCATCCTCATAGGAGGCCACACTGTACTCCACCCCTGCACCCCGCCACCCTGCATCTTTGCGCTGGCCCCAGGCCTGGCATGTAGTATGTGCTCAGGGAAATCTTGCTTGTTGTGTTTACAGAGCAGCTCTCTAGCCAGGACAGTAGGTCTGTGCCTCGGCCTTGGGCAGCACCCCGGCCCAAGGGAACATCCGCTCTGTGGCCTCTCTGATTGTTCAGATTGGCCTATCTCCAAGCATGTGCTGGGGAATACAGCAGCGTGCTGATTTGAGTTAGTTTGACTGGTGTTTCCAACTGAGTTGGGGACCTGGGTAGCAACCCCAACTGCAACCAAGATATGAGATTAAGGAGACTGGCTTGATTGAGACATTTCCCTGTTGGAGACCCCATAGTTTCTTAGCAACGGGCATGATTCATGCTGGAAGGAGGCTAGAGAATGATGGGCAGACGGCCTAAGAGGTTTCTTATGTTGGCAATAGGTTTGCTTCCTGTCTCTGGGCCCAGAGGCACCCCCACCCTTCCCTGGGCCAAACGAGGCCCCTCTCTGAGGGCCTGCTTGTCAGACGCCTGGCGCAAATCCAGTCCTGCCAGGGCTGGCTGCTGCTGTTTGTTCCTGTTTATTAAGCACATCCAGGTGAGTTTTATTACAGACAGTTCCCTGAGCTCCTGTTTCCACATTTGTCTCCTTGGAGTTTGAGATTGCCAAAGGCTTTCACAGCTAATGGACCTTACAGCTCCCAAGAGCCATTAAAGGCAGGCCAGAACTCAGTGGTGGTAATTAGTCACACGGAATGCAGGCCTCGAGAGAGGTGCTGGAGCTGAGTGGCAGGAAAAGAGGATGTAAGGACAGGAGCTGCAGGCTGGGGCAGGTGGGAGAGCATCCGTGCATGCTTCTCCTTCCTCCCTGCCCCATCCGTGTCTCCCTCTCCTAACTGGGGAAATTCTCCTTGATGGTCGCTGGTGGGATCCTCAGGCAGACTCATGTCCTGGGTATCTGAGGGGCTGCAGTAGTGCAGCTGAACTGGCTTTGAAAAGCTACTGCTCCCTTTTCATCCAATAAATTTCAAGTACTGACCCTTGGTGGAGGCTGGGGTCTGAGTTCAGGTGCCGCATTGTAGGAAGCAGTGGGATGTCCTGTTCAGAACCTGGCCTTTGAAGCCAAACTATACGGGTGCAAATGCCAAACCCATGACTTTGTAAAAAGTTATTTCCTTTGTATTTGAAAGGGAGGGAGGGAGGGAGGGAGGGAGGGAGGGAGAGGGAGAGGGAGAGGGGGAGAGAGAGAGAGAGAGAGAGAAACTCTTCCACCTGCTGATCCACTCCTCGAAAGTCCACAACAGTCAGGGCTGGGTCCAACCCAGAAGCCTGGAACTCATCCAGGTCTCCCATGTGGGTGACAGGGACCCAAGTATTGGAGCCATCATCTATTGCCTTTCGGGTCGTGCTTTAGCAGGAAGTTGGATCAGAAGTGGAGTAGCCAGGACTCAAACCAAGAAGAAGATGGAGAAGGAAAGATGTTGGGTTTGGCCTACTGCTAAATCCAAGGAAGGGAAGAGGAAGGCAGCATTTCTGGAGGTCTCCTCTGGATCAGTCATTGTTTGCTTTGTTTCTTTAATCTCTCCATACTCTGCTGAAGGGGGCAGGAAACAGTCTCAGAGATGCTGGGTGACCAATGCCAAGTCATGAGGCAGGGAAGAGGGGGCCAAGGCTGGAGTTTGGGGATGTGAAATTTCTATGTGGTTGCTCTTTCTACTACGCTTGGCTGTGGTGGGTGACTGCAATCCAGCTCCTACACACTGTATGGATGTCTGCTATGTAGAGAGTCCATGGGAGGTTACTGATCTCTGGTGGACTCAAAGGAGCAACCTCCAGTTGCTCAAGTTTGGGTCTTTGTGGGGGCCTCATCGCTGGATTGTCCTTTGCTCCGCATTGGATTCCAGGCTGTCCCAGGAAGTCCGGGCTGGACATGTAGGGGTCCTTGTGTGTCTTGTTACTGTCATGAGCAGTGGTGCCTTGTCAGGATGCCTAGGGAAGCTCCCTTTCTCCATCTGCAGGTGGATGGCGTTTTGTGCTTGGCCGACATCCTGACAGACGACAGCCACTCAGAGGCTACAAGGGCTGAGGCTGCGGCCGTGGTGGCCCAGGTCACCTCCCCGCACCTGCCCTTCACCCAGCACCTCAGTAGCTTCCTGGAGAGCATGGAGGAGATCGTGACAGCCCTCATCAGTGAGTCACCCTCAGTGGGCGGTACCCCTGGATGAGAGGGCGTTGGTGGTTGTTTTCAGGAAGGTGAGGAAGGCCTTCCAGTCTGCTAAGCATTGCACCCCACGTATTTCCTGGATGAGCACACTGGCTGAAATTCAGCCATTGGTGGATCACAGGCAGGCTTTGAAGGGCTCTATTGTCTAAAGTCTCAGATGAAAATGCATAGAGTCCTCTAAGAAGCACCTTGAATTGTGGTCAGGTTGGGATGAGTTGGCCTTTTAGAAGGGAGTTCAGGGGTCTATGGAGGAGGGGCCCTTGAATTTTGAGGTTCAGATCCTTGACCAGAAAACCTCTGATAGACTTTGCTCCAAAGGATTTATTGTACCCAAAGAATATGGCAGCGAAGATTTTGGCCAGTGACTTCTCTGAGAGCATCAATTTTCCACAGTCTGCCATTGAGATCTCTCTGTTGCTTTCTCATCAGGTGGCCATGAAAGATTTGACTCTTCCAGCAGACGTGTGTTTTCCTGGCAAGAGAGTCATAGTCCAATATCTAGAATATGCTTTCTTCTAGTTTCTCTTTACTGACTTGCAGAAACTAGAAGGATTTGTCTGGATAACAGTCCTCAGGGAACTTGCTTTGCAAGCCACTTCCTTTCTTTTCATAGTACTGGCCCTGGTGCTGGTCTTTGTTTTTACTTCTATCCCTAACTCTGTCACTGTCTCTATATCCACATTTTATTGGAAATGAACTCTAATTAATTTTATTAGAAACCTTAGGGCTAGTGTTTGGAGTTAACATATCAGAGCTGGGAATACCTGCAAAAACACCGATTTAGGGGCAGCACAGAATACCTTAGGGTTCTGTCTTTTCACTCCTCCATTCTATGAAGAGTTGTTGGGTAGCAACCCTGTGCAGGAACCAGGTGAGACTCTGCCATTGACTTACTATGTCAGATCACAAGCTCACTTCACAATTTTCTTTGTGTGTAAAATGAAAGCTTGCAACCTGTTTCTCTCAAGGATCCTTCTAGCTCTAGAATTTTAAGATATGCAAACACTTTTCACCTAGGAGACATTGATTAAGTTGACTTTGTGGATGATTCTAGCCAGGGCAGTGGTACCCACAGGCCAGGCTGGCAGAAATCCATCTGTCAGTGTCACCTTTTTTCAAAAAAATTGGGAAACCATGAAAGTCAACTGTTGAAAGTCATGGCTGGCAGGAGCTCAAGAGATCACGCTAGGGGAAGAAATCTAGGCCTGTGGAGGTTGAGGAACTCTTAAGGTCTCACAACATCATCAAGATGCACTTGTACCAGGAGCCTCATGCACAGATAGCCGCAAGAGACCAACAGGAAACACCAATGAGTTGAGTCAGATGGAAGAAGAAAATAAGGGGTTTGGGTTCTGTATGGAATTGAAAAGCACATAAAGGAGACAGTCACTGGTCAACTCCATCTGATTGTTGCCATGTAGGAAATGCCTACATTTTACAGAGAAGGCATAAATATTAAATTTTATAGGAAATACCTCAATTTATAAATATCACGAATTAAAAAACAAATAAATGAACCAAAACATAATATAGCCCAAATGATGTTTCACTCTTCTCACATGTCCATTCCTGCTTCTTTGCCCATGCTGAATTTCCCCCTGAAGTAGGGGAGTCCTCCTACTTATTTCATCCTGATAAGGGGCATTGTAGAGTCTACTCCAAGATTCAGCAGATGGAATATATCTTCTGGGCGGGAAGCCAGAGCTCTGTTCTTTGGTGGGAAGTAGTTCTCCAGTTTCTTGCCATTCCCTGGAAACATTTATAAATGAGTCACTAGAATCCTCAATTTAATCTCCCTAACACATCCCAGGTGACTCAGCCTGAGTTCAAATAAATGTGCAGCAAAATTAAAAGGCACTTAGATGGTTGTGTTAATAATTGCTGTGTCGGCAGCAACAGCAACTGCATGAGAATGAGGGGACCTAGAAGAAGTTGTACAGCAAACTGGGCTGGTGAGTTCTATAGTCTCATCCCAAAGCCTGGATGGAGGAAGTAACTTGGAAGGGGTTGGAAGACACCAGTAGCTTCCTAAAAACCAGATGATGGAGCAGTCACTGGATGAGGGGAATCAAGGAGTCCTCAATTTCTTGGCTAATCTATTGTCCTATACCTGAATGGGTAGGTCAAGACTGGATTGTTTAATGGCCCCAGCTGGGCTGTGGGAGCAGACTTGCAGAGATAAGCCTTCCTCTCCTGGTAGAACTGAAACCTAGGTCTGCAGGAGCATCACTGAGAATAAGGCAGTGATTCAGTGCGGGGCTGAGCCAAGGGCAACCTGGAGTATAGGAAGATTGGGAATTTAGGTATCATAGCCCCAGGAATTACCTTACTGTTCATAAGGGCTCAGGCAAATCACTTATCATCTTCATTTATAAAAATGTGACAACAATTGAACTGTTGTGAAGACTTAATAACTTAATGGGATAAAAATACATAGTAGTGCCTCGCACAGAGTAAACGTTCCATAAGTGGTACTTTGACTGCTACTGCCTCCTCTGAGGCTCAGCTTCGCACCTGTAAATGGGGACAGTAATTTTCTACTTTGTGCTCAGAATTTAAATGGCCTGAGTCACACTTTAGGTGTGACTATATCTGTCCCTTTTTAGGCAGGGACCAGTTACTGCATTCACTGGAAGGGACTAAGAGGGGCCAGTTGCAGTATCAGAACCTGAGAATACCAACTCTCTGGCTGGAGTCAAGAACCCCTTAGGGGCTAGGTTAGAACACAGCTCAACTCTGTCTCTGGAACTTTCTTTCTCTCCTGGGGCTGTTCTTCTGAATGGTGGCCTCTCCTTTTGTGATTTTGGTAGAGGTATTATAAGTAGGAAAGATCTTGGGCTCAGGAAACACTTTGATTGGTCCTCAAGTTGGAGCTGAGGATCAGAAGTCAGGTCCATTGGGATGAGTGCAGCACCGTGGGCATAGGCTGTTTTGCCTCCTCCTGAGGCAGAGTCCATTCCTGGTATTGTAGAGCCCATGAGGGAATGTGATAGGTGGTAGAGGGATGGGGTTGATTTTTCTTATTGGTCCTAAGTACAATTCCAGAGTGGAGAATTCCAGTGGGAGAATTTGGTCACAGGACCTGGCCATTACCACTAGGATTAGGGACAAAGAGTCTGACATTCAGGGGCTTGGTGTAGAACTTTCCTCAGCTGGGTAATATTTATCTTGGGACCAAAAGGAAGTACAGAGGCTTTGCTAATGACAGCTGGAGAAGTTGAATCATTCTACTTTACCTTCCGCCTGCCTCTTCCTTAAGGCACATTTGCAGCAATGTAGTGTCTATTACCCGAGACATGAATGGACTAGAAGGTCTTTGCTGCCTCATAGCCTTTACACCTACTAGGCCTTTGGCTGAGAGCATTCTCTCCCTCTAAGTATTTCCCCAACTAGCTCTTTTCCTCTTTTAAGGACTCAACTGTGAAGTCCCATTCTTAGTGACCCATTCTTGATGCACCCCTTTTGTCCCTAGCTATTATCTTAGTGCTTCCATATTTTCCTCCCAATATTGATCAGAACTTGAAGTTATTTCTACAAACTTCTTTAAAATTTCATTTTCTCTTGGCTACTAGTAGGGTAGAGCTTGACGAGGGCAAAGCTGTGCTTTCTTTGTTCACCCTGCCACCAGTGGTGCCTGACACACAGTTGGTGAAGGAGTGAATAGGAGTCACACACTGGATTTCGAATCCCAGATCTGCCACTGATGTAGACAGATACTATTCCCTCTAGAGTAACTGTTTTCCTTGCCTATAAAACCAGTGTTATTATACCTGCCCAAATGATCACCCGGAGCTGTCGTGGGAACCAAATGAGGTCATTCCATGAAGCTCTGGGCACTGAAGCTATTTTCATCTTTTTTGCCATCCAGAACTGTGCCAAGAGGCCTCTTCTGGTGAAGTCTTCCTGCTGGCCTCCGCGGCCCTTGCCAACATCACCTTCTTTGACACAATGGCCTGTGAGATGCTCCTGCAGCTGAATGCCATCCGCGTCCTCCTGGAAGCCTGCAGTGACAAGCAGAGAGTGGACACGCCTTATACTCGGGACCAGGTGAGAAGCTTAGGCCGGCCTGTAACCATGGAGACAGAGCCTGGCCAGGACTTAGTTTCTGGGGCAGGGAGGACACCATGCCCAGCAGCATGTAATGAATTCTGTTAATCCCCTTTCTTGACTTTTGGCCTTTGCATTCTGTGGGAAGCTAAAAGAATGTGTTCTCAACAGCTCTCATAGGCTCTGTAGTGTCTTTCTGAGTCCTCTCCCTACCACTTTGCTCATTCCAACCACTCCAGGGCCTTCCTCTATCTCCACTCAGGTTGTCCACCTTGGGAAGCAGAGACACACATGGGAAGGTTCCCGGACCTCCTCGGAAGGTCTGTGTTCCAGTCGACTTGGTGCCTGTCTAACATTGTAATGATGTGGTGAATTTGCTGCCCTGTCTGCCTCCATCAAATTAGGGGCTTGTGGCAGAGCCTTGATTCTGGGCCTCAGTCTCTATTTCAGTCACAGTTCTTTTTTTTTTTTTTTTTTTTTTTTTTTTTTATATCTGAGCTCCATGTAAGGTTTTGTTGGGGTGAGGTAGGGTTTTGCTACTAAAAGGGTTTGAAAACTTTGCATGAGTGGGGTTTTTAAACCTTTTGTTCTGTGATTCTCTAGAACTTTATGCCATCTCACCTTTGGCCTTACTAGGTCTATTTCCCCTCCAAAGTGTATACATGTTGGGGATGGATCTAATGAATTTTGGAGCTCTGTAAATTTCACCAGGTACCTGAGCTGTAAGTTAGATGGTCCTTTAATTCCCAAGCTAGTTCATCACTGCCACAATTTTAGCCCACCCCCCATCTGTTTCTTTTCATCTTACTAGTTGAAGCCGACAGATCTTTGAGTTCCAACGCCTATGCCAGCACCTCCAGGATGGCCTATCCTGTTGGCTCCAGAGCTCTAGAATTGCCTGCTCTGATAAGACCCATATGTCACAGTCCATATCTCACTGTTGACTTATCTAATGATATCTATTCCTAATCTGTTATTTCATGTACATTTTTCTTTATGAGGGCACGCTCCACGTTTATACTTCCCCAGACTTTCTTAGGGCCTCTAGTCTCGAGCTGGCACCATTGGCCCAGTTCCCTAAATGCCTGCTTCAGGCAAGAAAGGGACAAAGCAGGGCAGCACATCATCAGCTGTTTCTTGTCCTTAGAACCACCTGTGGAAGGGCAGCTGACCACAGACCCTCCCAAGGCAGAGCTTTTCTAGTATATGAGGGTTCCCATAATCTATGATGCTGGTGATATTTGCCCCAATTTATAGATGAGAATGTCCTCCAAATAGTGTGGTTGGCAACTAGCTAACCAGCATTTAAATTCTGGTCTGACTTGGACCTTGGTCTTTGATTCTTGTCCACTGCCACCTTTGAAATGAAGTGAAGGGAGCAGTGTGCTGTGGATCAGGGAGACTGAGCGTTGATTCTGCTGGGGCCATTTACTAGTTGGGTGACTTCGGGCAAGTCACAGCCTCTTGGGTGTTGGCTTTCTCATCTATTAATTGGGGCATGAATTGTTACCTTGCAGGCTTGTTGTGAGGGTTTAATGAGAAAATAGATGTAATGGCCTGATACAATGCTTAGCTCCTACTAAGTTCTTAGTAAATGGTGAATATCATTATTTTTCAAAACTTTTGCTCTAGAGGAAAGCGTGACTAGTGAGTTATCCCGAATCCTCAGCTTGGCCTACCGAGCCATGCATGATATGATTAGTGTCTTCCTTTCTCATTCCTTACAGTTGGACAAGCCCCCATAGAGACAAGATGTGATAGAAACAGATATTTACTGAGCTCACCACTGGCCTAGTTGGTTCCTGAGGGAGGGCTGCCCAATGCCCACTGCTCTCACAGCCTTTGGGTGTGGGGAAGAGGCTGGAAGGCCCACCAGGTGTAATCTGCTTTACTCAAGCTGTTTGCTTCCTGGGTTGGATGCCTCCATCTGCCTGGCCTCTCACCTATCCGATGTGTCTTCAAGTGCCTCTCCTATGGCTCACTCCCGTCATTTCATTTAAGAGCCAGTGGTAAATCACATGACCTGAGTTCAGAGCTTTTCGCCTATTGATAATCATGTCAGTTTGGGCCATTCAATCTGTGTCTCACTTTCTTCCCTTGTAAAGTGAAGATACATAACACATATTTTCAAATCTGCAATAAGAATTAAAGAAGCTGATGAGTGTAAACTCTTGGTGCAGATCCTAGCACACAGCAACTATAAAATCAACGGAAGCTACTGTCAGGGTTAGCGTTGGTATTGGCACTTGAATGTGTAGCACAGAGCACTGAATGGGAACCTCCGACAGGGCCTGATCTCTCCCAGCTCAGACATCCTGTGACTCTGTGCAGAGACCCCTTTCTGATCACCTGGAGCAGCCGGCCTTCTCTCGAAGCCTCACTGATTCCTAGGAAGGAGGGTGCTCAGTGTAGCAGGAGAACATGGTCAAGGTCTGGGCAGAGAGCAGTTCTCTCTGCAGCTTGAATCAGAAGCTATTCCTGCCCCTGCCTGAGCCAGGCACGTCCTGCTGTCCTCGTGGTGGCTTCACCTTCTGCCCTGGCTCTGAGCAACCACTTAGCTAGTGAGAGTGTACCCATTAATGAAACAAATGGCTCTTTCCTGTAGCAGAGGGAGGATTGAGGTGATCAGAGGGCTCTCTGTAATGAAGACAAAGAAGATGAATTGGGTTCTGAAGTGCTCACCGCCTCCTCAAATACTTAGGAGATTAAATCTCCCGTGAGGCTTCCGGTAATGAATCTGCCAACGATGCCAGTGCTGCATGGAGCCTCTTTGGACTTGAATCTACACCTTGTCCACCTTTGTTTGGACATCTTAACGAGAACCCTTTCACTTAATTTGTCCTACAGGAGTTCACTGGCACAGTGGTGAGGGAAGCCTGGGGCTTGGACTTGTTCACCCCTTTTGCTGATCCAGAGGAGGGAACTGTGGCCTGCAGGTGGATGTGCTCAAGCAATTTGTGGGCCCTGCGTTCTCATGACCAGGGCATATTTTCCAGGGACTGTGTTGCCTGGGGAATCCAGCAGACATGACAAAGGGAGATAGGAAGTGGGCTGTGTGTTGGTGAACTTCTGCTCTGCCCATCAAACAGTAACAACCCAGGATGGAAGAGACCTGGGCATCTTGACTAACCCACACCAACTCTTTCACTGAGAATAACTTTCTATAATCTTCAGAAATTAATTGGTTTCACTGAGATAGAGGGTGATATACATTTCCCATAGAAATATATCATCTGGTGTTTTGCTTACTTTAAAATTTTCATTTATTTATTTTCATTTTTTAAAATTTTTCCCCAGAATCCTTTTATTTAAGGAATACAAACTTCAGTCATTTCATAAGTACAACTTTAGGAACATAGTTATTCTTCCCACCATACCTGCCCTCCCACCCACACTCCCACCACTCTCCCTCCTCCCTCTCTTATTCCCATTCTCATTTTTTACTAAGATCTATTTTCAATGAACTTTATACACATGATTAACTCTATACTAAGTAAAGAGTTCAACAAATAGTATGAAAAAGAAATGTTCCTCAACAGTCGAGACAAGGGCTGTTCAAAGTCATTGTGTCTTGAAGCGTTAATTTCACTTCTATAGATCCCCTTTTAGGTGCTCTATTAGTTATCACAGTTCAGACAGAGAGAAAATTTCTGTCCACTGGTCTACATCCCAATTGCCTGCATCAGCCAGGGCTGGGCCATGCTGTAGCCAGGAGCCTGGAACTCAGTCCAGATCTCCCATGTGCACATCAGGGACCCAAATACTTGAGCCATCACCTGCTGCTGCCTCCTAGGGTATGCAGTGGCAGGAAGCTGGATGGCAAAGTGGAGGAGCTGGGATTCAAACCATGCACTCTGATATGGGACATGGGCATCTCAAGTGGTGTCCTAACCACTGCCAAATGTCCACCCTGTATGGCATTTTAGAATGACCAGATTGTATTTCTACCCACCTTGATTACCACTTAGCAGGAGTTCACTTATCAGAAATGCCAGTAGGGACTGTAATCTTGACTGACATCTTGAAATTCCTCCATAGTTTATAAAGCTCTGTCAAGTACATACATGGGTACTTCACAAAATTCATGGAAAAATGGAATTAACATGTTTATTTTGGTGCAAAATTTTTTGATATCCATGCTTACTCATATATGACATATATGAAAGAGTATAAACTGCTATAGGTAATACTACACTGACATTGTTAATTATAGTTAATGCAGTGATAATAGAAATCTAAATGTTCCATGTGGCAATTAAAGAGTAATTCTAATTACAGTTATATGCGCTGTTGGCCTTTTTGTCCTAATTCCTACACAGCATAGAAGTAATAATAACTTTTCGTTAAATCTATGTCAGATTTTCTGTGTTGTAAGTTCTGTCAAATGAGAGCACCTGTCTCCATTTGGGTGTCCTGGGCACTCTTCACAGATCTTTCACATGGTTTGTTCTTCATTATGAGTTTCCTATATGACACATGAGAGGGAGTCCAGGAAGAGTCAGGTCAGGGTGTGATCAGGACTGACCACTGAGGTCATTCTAAGGAAGTGAGGTGGGCCTGATCGATATCTTCACATCGGTCTGTGGACAGGTGTTTCCAGAACACCTGCTCTGGGCCAGTGTGTTCCTCTGCATATGTGGATATCAAAAGGCTTTACCAACCTCCTTCCTACTGCACAGGATATTTTATTCTTAAAGTAATTACATGGAGAGGGGGGTTCCCCTGCTACTCTGGGTCAATTTACTAGCTGCCTCAATTTTTCTAAGACCTTTAGAAGCCAAAGGAGGAACAATTTCAAAGTGCCCCAGAAGGTAGTGGGCACCAAATTACTTGTTTGGTCAGAAGGGCTTCTCCTCCTCTGACATCTTACTTCCCTTTGGGAGGGATTTCCCACGAGCAGCACATTTGGGCAACACCAGTGCCTGGCCCCATGGGCGATTCTGTCATTTCAGTTAGTGCATCTGGACATAGCCCTTCAGGGCCCGAGTCCTTTCAGACTCTGCTCCCTGGGGTCGTGTGATGTTCATTTCATTTAACACAGATTCTGAGTGCTTAGTGAAACAATAAATCATAATAGTTGTATATGTTATCTTATTGGGTTTTGTTGTTTTTTTTTTCTTTTTTTTTTGGGGGGGGGGGACAGGCAGAGTTAGTGAGAGAGAGAGACAGAGAGAAAGGTCTTCCTTCCTCTGGTTCACCCCCCCAAATGGCTGCTATGGCCAGCATGCTGCGCTGATCCTAAGCCAGGAGCCAGGTGCTTCCTCCTGGTCTCCAATGCAGGTGCAGGGCCCAAGGACTTGGGCCATCCTCCACTGCCTTCCCAGGCCACAGCAGAGAGCTGGCCTGGAAGAGGAGCAACCTGGACAGACCCCAGTGCCCCAACTGGGACTAGAACCCAGGGTGCCGGCACCACAGGCGGAGGATTAGCCTAGTGAGCCACGGTGCTGGCTGTATATATTATCTTATTTCTATCTCCTGTAGTAAGGCCAAATAATGGCCGTGCCAGATTCCATTTCCTACTCTTCCATACCTGTGAATAAATTATCTTATGTGTCAAAAGGGTCTTGCACATTGTGATTATGTTAAGGACCTTGATATGAGAATATTATCCAGGCGAGCCCAAGGTAATCACAAAGGTTCCTTTTTTTTTTAGGATTTATTTATTTATTTGAAAGTCAGAGGTACACACAGAGAGAAGAAGAGGCAGAGGGAGAAAAAGATGTCTTCTATCCACTGGTGCACTCCCCAGATGGCCGCAATGGCTGGAGCTGCACCAATACGAAGCCAGGAACCAGGAGCTTCTTCTGGGTCTCTCATGTGGGTGCAGGGGCCCAAGGACTTGGGCCATCTTCTGCTGCTTTCCCAGGCCACAGCAGAGAGCTGGATTGGAAGTGGAGCAGCCGGGACTTGAATCGGTGCCCTTATGGGATGCTGGCACTTCAGACGGTGGCTTTACCCACTACTCCACAGCGCCAGACCCACAAAGATTCTTATAAGAGGGGGGCTGAAGGGTCAGAGTCAGAGAGCAAGATACAGTTAAGGAAGCAGTGGTGAAAGCGAGGTGGAGCTAAGAGCTGAGGAATGTAAGTAGTCTCTAGAAGCTGGAAAAGGCAAGGACTTAGGTCCCTGGAGCCTCCAGTAGGAATGAAGTCCCATGAACCACTTGATGTCAGCTCCCTAATACCCATTTAGGACTTCTGACCACCAGAATTGCAAGATAAAGATGTGTGGTTTTAAGGCACTATTTTGTGGAAATTTGTTATGTATAGCAGCAACAGGAAACTGACACACCTTCATTAACCAAGACATGGAAGGTAGATAATGTGGCCAAAGCCCTACAGGAAATAAGTGAAGCGAGTGTTTGAACTGAGGCTGATCTGGTTGACTAGCCCAATACCACACTACCTCTCACCTAGCATCTCTCCCATTGATGATATCCTCTGTGTTCACCAAATAGCTGCAGGGGAAACAGTGTCATTCCCCTCATGGGAAATAGGAGCTAATTGACATCATCAGCTAGTATTGAACTAGCCTGGACCAGGGAAAGCTGCCTGCCTGACTCTGCTTGCTGTTCCCTGACAGTGCTGCTGTCCTGCATGCAGCCGGGTAAACCAGTTGTCTCTAAAATCTCAGCCGTGGAGTTGGCTCTGAGAAGAGGCATTGACCTCTTTCCCCTCCACATCACGGTACACATAAAGATGTTGCATAAGGGGGACTCAAAGCAGATCATAATTGGCATTTATTCAAATTGTGCTTAATTGAATACTTCATCTGCACCTCAGAAAACCACATGGGGTATAGGCTCTGTAAAGAGGAAGTAATTTTCATTAACAGGATCTAAATTAGTCTGACACAAAGACCTACCTGTGCCTGTGACACAGCTAATAATTGCCATGTAATGAACCCGTTGCTGCAGACAAAAGTTTCTCTTCTCTCCCTTCTTCCCTTCCTTCCATCCTTTCTCCCTTCTTCCCTTCTTCCCTTCCTTCCTTCCATCCTTCCATCCTTCCTTCCATTCTTCCTCCCTCCCTCCTTCCCTCCCTCCCTCCCTCTCTCCCCCCTCCCCCCCTCCTCCCTCCTGCCCTTCCTCCATGAATCTAGATATCATGCAGGTGTCTTTGTTCAGATAGGCCAGGCTGATGATACCTGCTGCAGTAACAGCCCAGAGGAAACCAAATGAACTCCGATCTGTCACTAACTTGACTTATTTCTCCTCTCTTGCAAGACTCTGCATTTTATGCCTCTTGGGAATCTTGCATTTTTTGACTGTGCCTTTGACTAAACTTTGGTCTGAAAGCCTTGTATATCAGTCCTATAGAAGTCCACAGAAGGATGGGTTTTGTCTTTGTCTAACTCCTTTTACTGACTATAAGCACTCATAGTCCTGAAAGAGGAGAAAAAGAGCTTCTAAGAACTAAACCTCTATTAATTCATTATCTTTCTGAAACACAAATTGTGAGTTTGTCACTTCCATTTTAAAACATCCAGTGTTGCACGGTTGCTTTCAGGAAAGTTTCCAGGTCTTTTTCCTGTCTCTGCCCCAGCTACCCATTGGAGTCATGCTTCCCCATCCAGATCCCTGGCCAAGTCTGAGATGGAAGGGGCTGCTGACACATACAAATGCCACAGTAGCTTAGGAATGCAGTCTCCTTCTTCAGTATGCATTTAGAGAAGGGGTAAGCAGACATTCTATTGAGATGGCAAACTTTTCTTAAGTTTCTGTGTAAAAGAAGAGATTTTATGTGCATTGATTATCCAGAATAATGGACGTATTCATCATTCTTAGTAGAGATCATGTTGCTGCCCAGTTTCAGAATTGAAGCTGCCTAGCTTGTCCTCAGAAGACTGCAAATCACTGTCCTAGATTTGGGGGCACTGCCTCTGCTTAGATTGTGCCAGACACTCTGAAGAAACACTTAAAGACAGATAGAACATCCAGCAGGTATTGTGGCATAGCAAAGCAAACCATTGCTTACAACCCTGGCATCCCATATCAGAGCACTGGTTTCAGTCCCGGCTGCCCTGCTTCGGATCAAGCTTCCTGCTAATGAGCCTGGGGAAGCAGTGGGACTTGGCTCGAGTGCTGGGACCCTTGCCACCCATGTGGGGGACCAGGATGGAGCTCCAGGATCTTAGATTTGGCCTGGCCCAGCCCTGGCTGTTGTGGCCATTTGAGGAGTTTCTCTCTCTCTCCTCCCTCTCTCTCCCTCTCTCTCTCGCTTTCTGTCACTCTTCTTTTCAAATAAATAAAATGAATCCGAAAGAGAGAGAGAGTGAGAGAGGAGAGACTGACTCGTACCTTGGAGAAGGGTTTTTCTTTTACTTAACTATTTATTTTAATTAGCACTTCAGAGTGCTGTCTGCTTCCTGAGAGTGAGTGAATTTTCAGTTCGCTGGTTATGCCAGTAGTGTCTGAGTTAATAGATATTACATTTCTAATATATTCCAGTGATGTTTGGGAACCTTGATGTTTGGGGTCCCTGGAATAGGTCCTTTATTGGCCCATTAATTCAATTTTGTGTTCTCTTGACTATGCCGGGGAGTTCAAGGAAAGAGGATTGCAGCTCATGAAGATCATGAAGTTGTAATCACAGCTCCAGTCCACCTGGTGTCAGTGCCCCTTTCCTATAGGCAGAACCCACCCTCCTGTGGACTTCTGTAGGATGACATACAAGGCTTTCAGACCACAGGCCTGTCAAGCAGAGCGAGTGTGAACTTCCTCATCAGATTCCAGGCAACATCTGATGCTTGGAGTAGAGTGCTCTACTTTGACCTTACTCTCCATTCACTTCAGGTTGAGAGTAGGTGGGAGACAGTGTCATGGAGAAGTGGAGATGGGGGAACCCAATCCAGGGCAGGTGCTAGCTGTCACAAGGATGAGCCAGCACAGAAGAGTTAGAGGGGCCAGGAACCTGCCCATCCTGTCTGTATTTCAAGGTCTGGGATCAGAGGGGCCATGCAGAAAAATGGCAGGGCCCCTGTGTCACCTGTGTCACTGTTCTCTCCATTGGGTCCTGGGGCTCTTGAGGGACATCAGGACCATTTGCTGGTGAATGGACATTGGTCACTGGGGTAACACATCTTGGTGGCAGGAGCCCATGAGGATGGAAGGAGGAGTGGCCAGGGGGACAGTAAGGAGTCATGGGATGAAGGGATGCTTTGAGCCCCTGACTGACCACCTGTGGAGAGCTCCATCTGGATCAGCGATGCCCATTTTCTTAGTTTCCCAATTTTCTTTTCCAGATTGTGACCATCTTGGCAAACATGTCCGTCCTGGAGCAGTGTGCCTCTGACATCATTCAGGAAAATGGTGTGTCTGCAGCAGTGTGCGTGCTTTATGGGTCATCTGGGTATAGGGAGCCACATGCCTTCATGCTGATAGGAATGTTTATGCATAGGTATAGGTGCATAAATACCCATGTCTCCACATTTGCACAAACATAAGTGTGTATGCAGCAGGGTCAATATGTAAATGTTTGCTTGCTTTCCTGCAGCTGAAAGTCTAGTGAGAGACAATGAACAAGAAGATAGAGAATGTCATATGGTGATAGTACCATAGGGAGAAGAAGGCGGGGGAGGGGGGTAGCCCCAGGGTAAGGGGCTATGGGTGGTGGTGAGGAGAAGGCAGGTATTAGGATCCCAGAGTACACATATTTTTCAGAGGGGATGCATTCCAACTTTAAATCGTTTCCATCTTACTGGATTTACCCCCAGGAGAAAACTAAAGTGCCTGGGAAGGGGTGAGGGTGGGTGTCAGGTCGTCGGAATGCCTTGAGCCTGCAGTGAGAGCACGAGCACGTCTGCTCCCACTGGCTCCCCTGTTCTGCTCTGTGCTGAGTGTGTCCCTAAGATCCAGTGGAGGTGGGGCCAGGTTTCATTGCCCTGGAAGCTGATCTGAGCAACCTCTGCTGGAGGACAAGGTGACTGCCTTGCAGCTGGGAACAGGAAGCGCCGAGGGCTTCCTGGGACAGATAATAAGGGAACAATTAGCAACTGGTTGGAAACCAGAGACGCTAATGAGGCTGAGTTAGCTGGGAGCCTTGGTGGCTGCCTTTGCTAGTGGTAAGCCCAGCCTGCCTTGCTGCCTTAGCAAACGTACCCTTGCCCATCCCCCATGGCTCTGTGTCTAATTGAAAGGCATCATTTTGTGTTAATTTTGTGTGATTGAGCTAATAATGAGAAATTTTGCTGAGCCAGCTGAGGCCTAGAGGCTGAGAGGGATCATCTGTGCCCTGTTCTGTCAGTGGCAGGTTCAAATGGTCAGTGGGAGCGTGTCTCCCCAGGCCCATGAATTTGAGATTGCAATGGCTGGCGTCTGTAGATGGTTTTGTGGTTTATGAAGGGCTGCTGGCTGACTCGGCCAGTAGTTCCTGAGATGGCCATGTGCCCAGCACTGTGCTTAACAAGCAAACACAGAGATAAATATGTACCTGCCTTTGTCCTGGAGAATCTCACAGCCTGGAAGGAGAGCCCAAGCTGACAAAAGTGACAGCAAGACAGAAGTGTGACATCCACAGTACAATAATGCCATGGAGAGAGAGTGGTAGAGCAGAGACCATATGGCTCTGTTATTTACCGTGTGACCTCATTGTTTTCCCATCTATAAAATGGGAATAGCAGCAGGCCCTACCTCCTAGGGAAGATGTGAGGACTGATGTGTGTTAGAAGAGTTTCTGGCACAGAATTAGCACTGGGCCAAGTCTGCATGCTCTTCCAGGGGTCAGTGGCCATCTCCAGGTTTTAAGTGAAGACTGTCTGATAAGGGGGCTACTTACAAAAGTGAGGCAGGATTTGGGCAGTTGGCAATGGTGGTGATGCAGTGAGGGGCCAGTGGAAGACAGTAGGAGTCCTTCTGGACTTTGAGAGTCCACGGTTTAAGTCACAGGCTGCATGAAGAAGGTGGGTTTTTGCCACAAAGCTGCAGAGCAGGAGCTATTCCAATGAAGACTAGGATGGAGAGGGGAATCTCCTGCAGAGAGGGTGGGCGAAGGCAGGCAGGCAGGCAGACGTGCCTGTGGGTACGCTGGTTTGTAGAACAATCAGAAGATGGATCTGGTTTCTGGGGAAGGCTTCTGAGCCATCTAAGGGCCTAAGCCACCTGTTCTGACCACTCCACCTTCTTCCAGTGCTTGAGTCTACTCTAAAACACTTCATCTAGTGAATGTCCAGTCTAGGTTTAGGTCGCTTTCTGTCAGGGGACTTAGCACCCTTGGACCTGTCTCAGATGCAAGCAGCATCAGAGGTTGAAGAAGTGATGGGAGTAACCAGTTACTGGAGTTCCAACACCTGCTCCCCACTTACTAAGTGGCTGTGGGTGAGACAGTTCACCTCTCTCCAGGCGTTGAAGTAGAATCATAACAGTACTAGTTCATGAGACTACTGGGAGGTTTTAGAGGATTGTGCATTTACTGTGCATTTAGCACAGCGCTAGGCATGTAGCAAAAACTCTCAAAGGGTTAGGAAAAATCAATATGTGCCTCCATGTCCCCTCCAAGTATAGTGACTTGTTACCTGAAACCAGGGACACCCCCAGGGAGTGGAAGGAGGAGAGGAGGTGCCTTATTCCGCTTGTTCCCTGGCAGTTTTTGTTTGAGCCCTGCAGCCTCTGTCAGCTTGGCCCTGTGGGTACCAAGTGTTCATTGCTTCCTGCCTAGGGGTTCAGCTCATCATGGGCATGCTGTCTGAAAAGCCAAGGTCTGGGACCCCCGCCGAAGTGGCAGCCTGTGAGCGAGTCCAGCAGAAAGCAGCGGTGACCCTGGCCCGGCTCAGCAGAGACCCAGAGGTGGCCCGGGAAGCTGTGCGTCTCAGCTGTGAGTGGTGTTGGCTGTGGCTGGAGTGATTGTGTGCTGGCAACAGTGGACATGGGCAGGGGCTGGCTGGGGCGCTGGGAAAGGCTGTGCCAGAGCCTCAGGGCACAGCACCTAGAGGGAGGAACCCAGAGAAGTAAGCTGGCTGTGACAATTACTCACCTGTGGAGTCCCTGGGCCCCATACTTCCATTCACTGTTCATTTATACATTTACGCAATTATTCACTTACTAATTCATTTCCTTGCTTATTCATTTGCTCATTAATTTGTCCTTTTGTTCATTCATCACTTCATTTCTTCACTATTTTTTTAAAATATCTTTATTTATTTATCTGACAGGTAGAGTTACAGACAGTGAGAGAGAGACAGAAAGAAAGGTCTTCCCTCTGCTGGTTCACTTCCCAGATGGCCGCAATGGCTGGAACTGGGCTGATCCAAAGCCAGGAGCCAGGTGCTTCTTCCTGGTCTCCCCTTGTGGATGCAGGGACCCAAGGACTTGGGCCATCCTCCACTGCTATTCCAGGCCTCAGCAGAGAGCTGGACAGGAAGAGGAGCAGCTGGGACTAGAACTGGCGCCCACATGGGATGCCGGTGCTGCGAGTGGAGAATTAACCCAGTATGCCACAGCGTCAGCCCCCATTTCTTCACTGTTAACTCATTCATTAAGTCACTTATTCATTTACTTAGTCACTTATTTACATGACAAATATTTACAGCTCACTCGCTCTGTGCTAAGCTCTGACTGCAGGTTGTGAAACATTAGATATAATTTTTTCCTGACCCCAGGGACGTACAGCCTCATGGGGGTGAGAGATATGAGGAGATATGCACTTGGCTACAGGAGCAGTGCTCAGAGAGCGTGCATGGCAAATTAGGCAGACAGGAGAAGGAGCGCGTGTGTATCTCCACGAGTCAAGAGGTTTTAGCCAGGAGGTGAATCATTGGGGAGTCATCCTGGTGTGAATGCTGAGGAGGGGCACTCTAAGTGGAGGCAGGGAAAGGCCCAGTAGTGCCACCAAACACCGAGGTACCCTGAGAGAGAGAAGGAGGTACCCGGGGCAGCGGAGGGTTCCTGCTTTAGAGAGATCGGATGCAGGAAAAACACGCAGATGCTGTCTACATACCTTTTGCTATGATCTTATGCTTTCTTAAATAGTTTAAATCTGTGTTGAAAATCACTTATTTAACTTTTGTAAAGTTCTAGGAAGCATGGTTAGAATCTGTAGTTTTCAATAATTTTAGCTACAGTATATTTTCTGATTGAAACATGCAATTGTGGAAAAAAATGTAATGTTGGCTGGGGAGTTCCTCTGGTAAAGACATAAAGGCCAGAGCCAGCACTGCTCAAGTCGGAAGTGCTCAAATAGGAAGTTGCATTCTCAGATGGGCGGGGCCTGTGCAGCTGCTATAGCTGGGGCTGCTGGGCTGCTGGGCTGCAGGCGTTGGCTGCACTGTGCCACTCCTGTTGGTCAGCAGAAAATCGCCGCAGACTCCTGGAGGTGGGCTCAGTCCCCTTCTGCAGCAGGCTGGAGCCCTCCCGGTGAGCCTCCTGTGTGTGCAGGGCCCGTGTGTGGCATGGGTATGCAGAGAGCCAGTGCTTCTGTGTCAGTCTGGCCTGGTCTTCGCATCCCGAGCCTGAGTCTCTCCTTGGCTCTTCCACAGGTATGTCGCGTCTCATCGAGCTCTGCAGGTCCCCGTCGGAGAGGAACAGCAGTGACGCTGTGCTGGTGGCCTGCCTGGTAAGTTCTTCCCCCAGCTGTTTCCTGGGCCCATGAGAGTGCAGACAAGGGGCCTGGAGAGCTGCATATGCAGGGTGAGCCAGTGAAATCTCTCTTCCGTTCAACTTTTCTCTTTGAAATGGTGATAATTATCATCCTTGTTTCGCTCAGTTCACAAAATTGTGATGAAAATTAAGTGAGGTCATATGTATGAAAGATAGGGCCTGAGCAACTGGCCCCCATCCTATTATCACAGTTTTAGTAACCATGAACTTTTTAGATTCTGGAAACAGAGATCAAACCAGAGCAGCAGGTAGGTGGAATGCTAGGTGGTGGTATGGTTGTGATGGTTCCTGCAGAACCGGGGAGCTAGCATATGGTATCTCCTTTCTACCGCCAAGTGGACCTGGTGAGAAAAGCCTCCCTCTACCCCTCTGCTGGGCTCCTCCTTTGTGGAATAGGAAAAGAGGGAACATGACAGGACAGCAGGGATTACTTAGCCAGCTACCAGGGTCTTCACCTTGAACCCAAGAAAATGCATCCTGGGAAGTCCCCTCTCAGCCGCTTGCCGCTGAGGCTCCACCGTGAAAGAATCAGTGGTACCAGGTGGGGAGCATGCTTGTTCACATGTTCCTCCCTGGATATCATGGGAGCCATTGTTTCATCACAGCGATGGGACTTCCAGAAGACAGTGGCAAATCATTGGTCCTCAAGAACACAAAGGTGGAGCCACTTAAGGAGTTAAAGATCCTGCAAGCCATTTCAGAGTTATCTTCTTCCCCATCATATTTTTACCAAGAGCATCTCATTTCTGGGTGTTCCTAGTGTGTGCTGTGTGGTTGTAGAAATGGCAGGGCATTGCAGTCAGACCTGCCCTGGTCTTACCACCGGTGAGCCATGTGACAGTGCGGAAGTCATTAAGTGCTACAAATTTCATTCAGTAAATATTGACTGGATGAGTGTATGTGCTGTTAGCTTTTCTAGGCTCTGAGGACACAGCTGTTGGGGGAAACATAAGATAATCTCAACTCTCCTGAAGCTTTTACTTTGGGTCACACAAGCAACCTGAACTCTTTGTACCTTTGTCAGTCTAGTGAAGCTAATGGATCCCTTTCAGAACATTTAAAAAATTTATTTCCATTTTATTTGTAAGGCAAGGGAAGGGGTAGAGATGAAGATTTTCCATTTTCTGGTTCACTCTCCAAATACCTGCAGCAACCAGGGCTAAGCCAGGTCAAAGCCAGGAGCCCAGAATTGTATTCCTTATGGATGGCAGGGATACAACTACTTGACCCTCTCACTGCCTACTGCCTCTCAGGGTATGATGAGCAGGAAGGAAGCTGGAATCACAAGCAGAGCCAGGACTTGAGCCCACATTCTCCAGTATGGGTTGCAGTTGTCCCCATTGGCAACCTAACTGTTGTGCCAAGTCCTCACCCCAGAATATTGTTTTAAATGCATAAACTGTGTAGAACTAAGAAAGAAACCAAATATATTAAAATATTTAACCATATGATATATGTGCTTTTCAATCAACATTAAGTCAGATCTAGTAGTGGGTCTAATAAGCATTGTAGTCTTGACTACCGATTGCCGTGAATGCTACTTGGAGGCGTTTTAAGTCATGGGATATGAAAATATCTGATTTTTACTGGTTTGTTGCTACATTCGCAACAGAAGGAAACACTAAGTTTCACTGAGAGTTTGAAATAAGGATGTAACTCTTATGCAGGTTCACGGACTCTCTTAATTCTGCCCCAACTAATGAGCAAAATGGGGGGAAATCAACAGCTGACGAAGATGAAATGACAGCCCCAGCTGTGATTGTCCTCACAGCTTCAGCCGCTGGTAACTGCCTGAGTCTGAAATGTTGCTAGCATTGAAAACACTTTGGTAGTCATAAAGCCCCATTTAGATATGATGGCTTATTATGACAATTGTCATTTTTACTATTCACTTGAAGGAGAGCACACAGCGGGCTTGGCTACTGTGTGTAAGTCTACAATGACTTTCAGGTGGAAAGGGAACTGTATTTATTCTTGTGAATGAGTCGGTAGATGCTATGGAGAGCTTCTTCCTCCCTAATCCACCCTCTGTGTGACTGCTGAGTTAATTTTCCTAACGACAGTTCATAATCATGACACGTCCATGAACCCTGCCATGGTTGCCCATTATCTGTGGGCCCTTGTTCAGCCCTTGACAGTGTAGTCCTAACCCAATCTTGGGGTCCGGAGATCTGTGGCTTCTAGGCCCTGTTCAACTTGGCCAAGCCTGAACCATGCCTTGCCCTTGCCCCAGGTAAGTGCCCTCCCCACAGCTGTTAGTTCAAGCCCTGCCATCATTCTGGGCTCTGATCTGAATGCCTCTTCCACATCAAGTTTCCCAGGAGCTGTCTGTGGTGCAAAGACAATGAGCACACAGAAGTTCCCCGGCTTCCCCCCTTGGATTTGTTGCACCTTGTCTGATACAGGTTGTGTTAACCATGTTCCCTGTGATGTGAGGGGAAGCTCTCAGAATTCAAACAGGCCTGCCTGCCTCTTGGAGTCTGGACTTTAGGGCCACATTATCTTGTTTCCAGCCACAGTTTTTCTCTTCTGGTCATCTGTGGCCCTGGTCTCACTATATTGACCCATGGGGAAGCATTATTTCTCCCTTTGGCCTGGGAAGCTTCCTTAGGACAAGGGCCCTTAGCTCTTAGTATTTCCATAGGATCTTGAGCTTGGTGCCTGTTTATTGCCTCAGTTTGGGACTGGCCGACTTGTCTACTCACCTGCAGCCCCCAGTGATGGTGGGTGTTTGTGGCTTGGCTTCAGAAGGGTTGCAATGTCTGGGTACAATCCCCAGCTGGTGACATGGGTTCCACTAGGAGCCCTGCCTGGCAGACGAAGTTGGAAGCTACCCTTCCTGCTCCTCCCCATAGCTTTCTTTCCAGCCCCAAAGGCCTCTGTTCAGGTGGAGGGAGGAAATTTCCATTACCATCTCCGCGTCTGGCAAGGTGGCACCGAAGATCGCCTTTCACAGACAGAATTGATTTTTCCTTAATGAAGCAGCTGTCAGTGGGCTGCTGGGCTTGGTTCATCCCTGGGTGTTTTCAGGCCGTCTGGGAAGGAGGCTCTGGGAGGATGGGCTGTCCACACTCCCAGGGAGGCAGAGGCTGAGAAAGGCCAGGGAAGGGTGCAGGGTCCTCTGAGAGTGGTGCACACTGAGGAGTGGGTGCTCTGTGCTGTGTGGGGTTCAGGTCTGGCTGACTTTCTGGGGACCCTGGAGAGAAGAGGATCTGTTTCCATTTTCCCTCTTCCCAAGGGTTGTCTCTTCTCTTAGCACTTTCTCCTTCTTTCCCTTCATCTTCCTTTTTTTTTTTTTTTTTTTTTTTGACAGGCAGAGTTAGACAGTGAGAGAGAGAGAGAGAGAGACAGAGAGAAAGGTCTTCCTTCCGTTGGTTCACCCCACAAATGGCTGCTATGGCCGGTGCTGCCCTGATCTGAAGCCAGGAGCCAGGTGCTTCTCCTGGTCTCCCATGTGGGTGCAGGGCCCAAGCACTTGGGCCATCCTCCACTGCCCTCCCTGGCCATAGCAGAGAGCTGGACTGGAAGAGGAGCAACTGGGACAGACCCTGGCGCCCCAACCAGGACTAGAACCTGGTGTGCCAGCGCTGCAGGTGGAGGATTAGCCTAGTGAGCCGCGGTGCCAGTCCCATCTTCCTCTTTTTGTCCCCCTCACCCATCATCCCCTTGGCCCCCTCGACTTCCTTTTCCTCTCTTCCCCCTCCCCTCCTCCTCCCTGTCTCCTGTCCCTCTCCCAGCAAAAGCACTTTCCCTTTGTTACTATTTTCTTTGCTGTCTCCATCACCCTTTCATGCCTGGTGTCTTTTTCTTTACCAAGTTCATTTCTGTGCATTTACTTTCTGTTCTGTTTCTCTGTTGCCTCTTTTTGTCTCTTTGCTATCATCTTTTGCAACCTGCTTTCTGTTTATTTCCTTGTCTCTCTTTGTCCCCTCTCCCTCTTGCTTTATTTTTACCTCTAATGATGCAGAATGCCCCAGGGCCTCCTATCCTCACATGTAAAATGATTCCCCAATTCCATCCCTACTGGGTATTCCTTCCATTTGGAGCCCCAAGAGGGGTCAAAAGTGCTATGGAGCTCAGCCCTTGGGGTAAATTACATCCTAGGAGAAGCAGGCAGACTGAGTAAAGCCAGCCTTGGGGAGTCACCTCTGTGCCGCCAGTATCTCAGATCTGCTCATGTGTACAGAGGCACACATTCCTTATACTTAATCTGCCATAGACATGCCAGCACTGTGACTCCATCAGTCGGCTCAAACCACTGTCTCCTTTCTTTCTTGGCCCTTGGTCAGATTCCTCAGCAACAGGCTACTTGCCATGTCTAGGTAATGAACTCTACTCCTGCCTTGTTCGGTATAACAGAGTTCTTAGGCTGCAGCATCCTACCTGTGTGTGTAGGTCAGAAGGTCCTGAAGTAAGATTGCTGAGTGATCTTGAGGAAGGCTGCTTTTCCTGTCGGAACCTCGATTCTCTTGTTTCCAAAGTGAGTTGCAGAATGGTGTAGGGAATGAACAGACTACTGTGTGTGGATATTCAGTAAGTATTGGCATGCCTTCCTTCTTTGCTTCTTCTGCCATTCTGGGTACTACCTCGACTCCCTGCTTTTCCAGGAGTGAGTGAGGAGGGGTGCCTTGTACCTTCAATGTGCTTGTTTAGGAAGAGGGAAAGATGTAATATTCGTGGAGAACTTAGGATGCCGTGTGTTTCAGTCAATATAAGCAGGTCAAGGAAGGCACGTGGGTCACATTTACAGTTTCAGGTTGCTCTCTCAGCTTTAAAGCAGTTTATATGTTCATTTCTTTTCAGCAAAAATGTATTAAAGCCATGGTGAACATTGTGGTGCCAGCTGTAGATTGGATGGGGGAGAGAAATATAAAACAGGATTTCTACCCTTGGTGAGCTCAGACTCCAGTGTAGGAGAGAAACACCAGAAGCCAGTTCTATTCCTGTGTGAGAAGCTTGAGGTCAGCACAGGAACTCTGAGTATACAGCAGATGGTCAGACTGTCTCTGCAGCAAGGCCATTATTATCAGTCGTTAAGACAGTTCCAGATGAAATGTGTCACAGTAACCAAGGTGCAGGTGAAACTGGGTGACCATGTGATAAAACTGCCATGGTGTCCAGGTGGCCAAAATGATCACTGAGTTTCCTGGAGGTCCACATAGTGAGCAGCTCAAATGATCTGGTGAGTACACTGTTCCTGAAACGCACCTCTCCGTGTGGTGGAAGGAAATCGTTGCCCTGGAGCCTGGCTCAGTCATCTTTCTGTTTCCTCCCCAGGCTGCTCTGCGTCAGTTGGCTGGGGTCTGCCCTGAAGGCCTCCAGGACTCTGACTTCCAGCAGCTGGTCCAGCCCCGGCTTGTGGATTCCTTCTTACTCTGCAGCAACATGGAGGAGAGTTTTGTGTAGCGCCTGTTGGAGAGGAAAGCCGCAGACCCCACTCATGCCCTCTCTGAGTACACACTGTGGACACACCTGAGTACACACCAGCTCTCCTCACCTCCTTATTTATACTTAATTTATTTTTTACATGAAATAGGGGGTAATATGTTATACAACATCATCTAACAGTCTGTGGTCCTTGGAATCTTTTTTGTTTTTATTTTTTGACTTCTGTGGCTTTTCAGTTGCAGATGTTGAAATGCATAATGGTTTATATGACAGATTGTCATGAGCGATTTCACTTCATCTTGTTTTTTCTACTCTCACTTATCATTTTTTAAAACTTTTGGAAACAGAGTATTTTAACTGTCCAGAAATTTTTTAAAAGTTGAATTCACTCTTTCCAAAAATGTAAGATGAATTTCATAGTTGGACAGAATATTGGAAGGAAAGTTTGTTCTTTAATAAATAGAATCATGCAAAATGTGTTTTGGATTTTCTGATTAAATTGTGTCTTAAACTAAATTCTTGTTTCCCAAGGTTTCATACCACAAAAATGTTTCCAACTATGAAAATTGCGTAGAGTTGTCTTGTTTTCATAGGTACATTAATGCATCAAGTTCTGAGTGATTTAATAAGAAATCACAATGACTTTCAAAAATATTTCCAAAGACACCAGAATCTCAGCTTCCTTTGGCCTCTCCTCTGCTCTTGTGTGATCTCCTGTTCACCTGCTGGTGAATAGAATCCTAAGATGAAGGTTTTTTTTGAGTGATTCCTCTTCAAAAGGATGCTTGAAAGCAGTGATATCCTACAGCTGACTCATACTGGCCTTCAAGGAATAGCTGAGAGAATCTCTCCCAACTGAACATTCAATGACCTCACGTTAGCTAGCTGGAAATTGGCCTTGGTGGGAGAATTTATACTACCGAAATTGGCAGATGCAAAAGTCAGAGCTTTTGATTGTTTTCACAAAACATCTCTGAATCTTTCTGAAAGTTTTAATGCTATCATATTGTGATGTGATCTTTATATAACTCCAGAAACATTTCTTGAATTCCCAAATACCAGTGTGTGTTAACCTAATGTGTCACATCCTGGTCTTAGCATCTAAAATGTAGTATTTCATTTATTTTTCACAATAATCACACGATCATCAGTATATCCAGATGTATTATGACATGATGATATTAATAAATCACCCATCGATAATAGCTAGTAAGTGGTGCTGGGATCTGATTTGAACCTGACAGCATCTATTACCAGAGCCTTTTCTGATGTCCTATGCTGAATATAAAGATAGTGTCTATATTCTCCCACCTGAAGTAATATGGGTGAAAAGGATAAAAACACGGTATAATGCTTCCATGTTCCAAACACCTATTCCATATCTTTGTATATGTTAACTCATGAATATACAGCAAAATGTATTTCAGTATATTGTTTATTCAATTCTTCCACATGTGTAGTAGCTACCATTCTTGTCTTATGTACAAGGAAACACAGAAAACTAACTTTATAGATGAGACAGTGAAGCTGAAGTAGCAAGAAAACGGTAGACTCTGGATTCAAATCAAGGTCTTCTAAGTACTTATATAAAGCTCTTGCTTTTAGTAATAGTGTCTTACATAACTTACTGAGTTAGACTGTCCAGATGATGTAAGTTGTTGTCATTGTTATTGCTTTCATCATTTTGGTCATCATCTCCAATTTGGAAATGGCACTATGGATGATCTAGTAGTTACCTATCTTTATGCCTTAACCTCCTTGACAATTTCCCCTCTAAAATAATCCTTTGCAGTTGCTCACTCACTTTCAGTGAAACTCATTACCTCACTCTATTATTGAGCAGTGTCCAAGGTCACAAAGTTCCACCCTAGGTGAAGCCATAATCTGAAAATTTATCTGATGCTTCAAGTTTTCATGTCAGGGAATACTATCTGTTTCCACAATCAGCCTTCAAAACTGTTGAAAGTAGTGATCGATTGCATGTTATCCACCAAACAAAGCAAATTAACCTGAAATTTAGTGGCTTCAAACAGCAGCACATTTGTTCTTATATTTCCTGTGGGTCAGGTTTTCAGGAATGGCTTATCTGGGCAGATACGGCTCCAGATTTCTCATTAGTTTCCAAGATGTTGGAAGTATTTCAGAAGGGCAGAGTCAGGACTCACAAAGTCTGCTCTTCCATAAAAGCAATGAGAACACTGTCAAAGATTGTTAAAATCAGCTTCTTTGGAACTCTGGGAATTAATCAAAGCCTTGAAATAATTCAAGGAGTGTTTATGCAAGAAAAAAGGATAAGTTTCAGAAAGAACAGTGAGCTTTGTTGTATTTTTAACTTGTCCTGTTTCCAAACCCCTTGCCACAGCTCTGTTGTATCCTTGAAAACCAGTAGTCTCAAAACCACAGTAGCTATGCCAACCAGCAGCCTAATAGCCATTGGAGTTGGGAGTTTCCATAAGACCTGCAACTGGATATCTATATGTGAAAGACTCAAGTTGGATCACTGCTTTACATTTTAGACAAACATTAATGGAAAGTGCATGATACGTGTAAGAGCTAAAACTATAGGGCCCATGCAGTGATGTAGTAGGTTAAGCCTCTGCGTGTGGCGCCTGCATCCCATTTAGGGGATGCAGTTTGTGTCCCAGCTGCTCCTCTTCCAACCCAGCTCTCTGTTGATGGCCTGGGAAAGCAGAGGAAGATGGCCCAAGTGCTTGGGCTCCTGCATCCACATGGGAGACCTGGAAGAAACTCCTGCTCCTGGCTTTAAATCAGCCCCACTCTGGCCATTGTGGCCCTTTGGGGAGTGAATCAGAGGGTGGAAGACCTTTCTCTCTGTCTTTCCCTTTATCTGTAGCTCTGCCTCTAAAATTAACAAATAAAATCTTTAAAAAAAAGCTAAAACTATACAGCATAGGTGTAAATCTTCGTAAGTGTTGGCTAGGCAATGAATTCTTGGATATGACACTCAAACACAAATGACTGAAGAACACTAGATGAATTGGACTTCATCAAAAGTAACAATTTTTGTGCTTTAATGAACATCATGAAGAAAATGAAAAGATAACACATGAAATGGGAAAAATGGATTTTTAAGTCCTGCAACTGATAAAGGATTGACATTACCATCAATAATGAATCCACAGTAATAATAAAAAGACAAATAACCCAGTTAAAAATGGAAAAAGGGTTTGAATAGGCATTCTTCCAAAGAAGACATGAAGATGTCCAAAAAGAACATAAAACAATGTTCAGTGTCATCACTCATTAGGGAACTGCAAATCTGAATTGTAATGAGATACCACTTTATACCAATTAGGATGGCAAAAATAAAAGACAACGATGACGAGTATTGGCAAGGATGTGGAGAAGTTGTAATCCCTGTATGTTACTTACAGGAATGTAAGATGGCACAGCCACTTTGAAAAAGAAAACCAGTTCCTCAAAATGTTAAACAAAGAGAATTCCACTCCAAGTACATGTTCGAGAGGAATGGTTGTCAGAGGTTTGGCGGGGTGGGGGTGGAGGGATGAGGAGTCACTGTTGACAAGTACAGGATTTCTTTTGGAGGAGATGGAAGTTCGTAGTGAGTGTTGCACAACTCTGAGAGTATTTCCAAAACCACTGAATTACACATTTTAAAAGGGTGAATTTTATGATATACAAATTACATCTCAATCCATAAAAACTGTTATATAGAAAAAAGGTGTAGTCCAGGGGTACACTCATGTAGCGACATGAACAGGATTGGAGGATTCACTTCTATGATGGCTCACTCACCACTCTGGCGAGACGGTGCTGGTTGTTGGTGGGAGGCCTTTGTTCCTCTTCACACAGTCCTCCCCACAGGCTGGCTGAGAGTCCTGCATTTAGTTTCCCACAGGGTTAGTGATCCAAGGAGAGAGCAGGGCAGAATCCATCCTTGGTCTGGCCTGGCCTGTGAAATAGCTGTGATTACTTCCCTCCCCTACATTTTCTTAGGTAGAGGCACATCACTAAACCTAGCCCACATTCAAGGGAGGAGAATTAATCTCCACATTTGAAGAAAGGAACAGCAAAGAATTTTCAGACATGTTTAAAAGCCACTACATTGATTATATTTCCATCAAGTCTTCTCTGTTACACTACTTTCTGAGTGACATATTTTCTGAACTCTCTCCCACTGCTCACTCAATTTTAGAAAGTCCAATGTGTCAATTTCCCTCACCCCTCATTCATCTCTTCAAGTCCCACACTCATCAAAATGAGGTGTCAGAACTGAAAACACACCCACCCCCTTTTCCGCTACTCTCCACCGTTCATTTGGGTCTCCAGCCACTCAGTGTGGTAGAACAGGGCCATCAACAATTGCATTTTTTAGAAGGATAAAGGGAAAAGTGATGATTTTCACCAGATTTTTACTTCAAGGGGCAGGAGTTCAAAAGGGAAGCTAAAGAAAATGCACTAAGTGAAAGAACATATTCTTGCACTTTTTTGGGTTTTTCTGCTTGAGATAAGGAGGGTTGGGAGCGGTAGGTGTATAAATCTAATTTTGTAACATAGATTGTGATACAGAATGGAAAGGAAAGATCTAAGAATGAGGAACCTGAGACTATTCACAGGTGCAGGGACACAAAGGACATCACTTAAGCCTGCATTGTAAGATCCTCTGTGATTGAATCTCGCCCTTAGAGGACCTTATCGGTCACATCTTGTCTCTGGTTATATTATGCCTCCGAATAATTACTGTCCCTTCAAGAGCATCTTTTTGTAACACCCGCAAATTCATAGCATGAAGAGATGGTGTTACACATAAAGGGAACTTTATTAATACGCAAAGGAGGAGGAGGAAAAAAAAGAATTGAGCAAGAATGGAAAATGCAGACCAAAGAGTTGAGATTTTTTAAAAATAATATTAATACAAAAAGCAGAGCTTTTGAAGAAGAAAGTTGAAAAGAGTACTGGAAGGATGACATCAGCCCTGGATGGAGTTCACGGTTAGAGGCCATGGAAGCGGGGAGACTGTCCCATCCTCCCTCCCCTGCAGGGCAGGCAGGATGACATGACTCAGCCTCAGCTGATGAGACCCTGAGTCCCACTGAGTTTAAAGTAGCCTTGGAGTGTGTCAACTGAGAGCTTGCACACGCCTAGGAGCAGCTTCTGGGCCACGCTAGGCAGGAAATCATAACAGAGGACCCTGGGGCTGAGAACCCACTCGGCCTCAGGACAAGTGAGAATTGAAGGAGTGGCTTCATTTGAACTTTATCTTCTCTACCCCCCTCCCGCCCCGCCCCAAAATGGGACTAATCCTGGTTCTCTTTAATGAGTGCCTCCTGGGGGCAGTCATTTTCCCATGTGTTACCTCTCATTCTCACATCTATGAGTTAGGTGCTATTATGAAAATTCTCATTTATATTCTCCATCACAGATGGGGAAACTGAGGCTTAGAGAGGTTAATGAGCATTTCCAAAATCAGTTAATATGGATGTA